GCAATGGGTTAAAGCTTCAACAACATCAAAACTGCTACAGGCTTCCTGGTCTTTATTGTGCACAATTCATCAGTGCATCACAGAGAAAAACATCCTCGTTTTTCATTTTCCAATGTTTTTTCGGTTTCACTCAGAAATACGTGATGCAGAAATAAAATAGATTGTAAATGCCTTTTAAAATATCCCGAAAATGACACTTTATAGTATGATTTATACAGATGGAATAATAACAAAATAACATTTATTTATTTTTTAATTTTAGATCAGAAGGCTACAGGAAAGTCCCGTACCACTACTATGAAGCAGGAAGTCGTGACGAATGTGCCGAATACCTCCTGCACGAGAGCGCCCCTTACGGCGGGCACCGATTCATCACGGAGAAGGCTGTTTTCGCAAATTGGGCTAAGACGCACCCCATCAAGTTTTTCAGTCCAGAGTGGCAGCTGTTATGACCAAGACTCCCTTTCTTTCAGAATATCCCCTGATACTACAGCTCTGTTGGCTCGTTCCTCCTGCATCGTAAAGTAATGCTCACAAAATGTGCCACGCAATGGCTAAACAAATCATTCCAATTGCGATTTCAAATAGCAGTTGTCTGAGTGAAGTAAGTCCCATCGTGACCATGAAGAGAGGTTTGGTTTCTAATGAACCTCGTGTTGATCCTGGTGTGATCAGATAGTGTATTTTGCATGTTCTCGTTTCATACTCATCTGGACAAGCAAGTACTGTATGTTTTTCAGAGCACACATATTGCAAAAAAGATCTACAAAGAATGTCACATCCTTGCTTTAGCTTTCATCACCTCAAATGGGCTCAATTTAGGGCTGGCCGATATACCAAATTATCTATAAAGTTATACAGTGGGTATAGAAAAGAATCACCCCCCTTTAAAATAATCACATTTTGTTACTTTGCAGACTGAAATGAAGATGGACACAGGTTTTATCCAGCTATATTTACTCAGTGCAACTTATAACATCCAAGTGAAAGATATAACTCCAACATGTCAGGAAAAAAAAAAGGAATCACTGAGTTGGAAAAATGATCCTCCCCTTGTGTCAGTATTTTGTTGAACCATCTTTTGCTTTAATTACAGCCTTTAGTCTGTTGGGATATGCCTCAACTAACTTTGCACATCTAGACTTTGCGATATTTGCCCACTCTTCTTTGCAGAATTGCTCAAGTTCAGTTAAATTTGATGGTCATTCCACAGATTTTCAATGGGGTTTAAGTCTGGGCTCTGACCAGGCCATGAAAGGACATTCAGCTTTTTCTCCTTAAACCACTGTGTGCTCAGTTTTACTGTGTGTTTGGCTCATTGTCATGTTGGAAGGTAAACCACCTTTTGACCACTTTCTGGCAGAGGGCAGCAGATTTTCCTCAAGAATTCGACTGTATTTTGCCCTATACATTTTTCCTTCTATCCTGACAAGTGCTCCAGTCCCTGCTGCAGAGAAACACCCATAACAGGACATTTCCACCTCCATGCTTTATTGTAGGGATGCTGTTATTTGGATGATGAGCTGTATTGGCTTTCCGCCAGACATATCATTTGGTGTTGAGGCCAAATAATTACATTTTAGTCTCATCTGCCTCAGAATCTTCAAGGTGTGTTTTGGCAAAGCTCAGTCGTGACTGCATGTGGCCTGTCTTGAGGAGTGGCTTTTTTCTTGCAACCCTGGCATACAAGCCACTGTGACGAGAGGGGCGGGACGGAGCAAGGCCGGTGGAGTAAATGCTAATGCGTGACACCTGCGCCACTCACTGGTCTCAAGTCCCACGGAGGAGCTCCAGAAGGATAAAATGAGGAGTGACGACAGTGTTGGACGAGAGAGGACCAGGCCTGGACTTTACTTTGTGTTTTGTGTGCACAAGGGGCTGCCGCTTTACTTTCATTTTGTGTTGGTTTATTTTATTAAAGTGTTTAAATGTTCGCCGGTTCCCACCTTCTTCTTCCCGAACTACGAACTTTGTTACAGCCACATTTGTGGAGAATTTGTGATATTGTTGTCATATGCACATAATGACAACTCTTTGTCATAAATTCCTGCAACTGCTTCAGAGTTGCTGTAGGCCTCTTGGTCGCCTCTCTGACCAGTTTCCTCCGGCTCTTTCATCCAGTTTGGAGTGACGTCCTGATCCAGGGAGGGTCTTGTGTTGTACCAAATACTTTCCACTTCTTAATGATAGACTTCACTTTTTTGTATCCATCTCCTGACTTGTGCCTGTCCAATACTTTATCCCAGAGATCTTTTGAGAGTGCCTTGCCACCCATAGTTGATTGTTTGCTTCAGTTGCACTACCAAGGGTTGAAATGTTCCAGGAAAGCTCTTTTCATGCTGAGCTAATCAAAATGACCACAGCTGATCACTGCTAAATGTGAAATGGCTTTGTGTGCTATTGAGAAGGTGATTGTTTTACACTTGATTGAGTTTACAAGTCATTTTTAGGAGGGGGGTGATCCTTTTTCCAACTTAGTGATTCTGTTTTTTTATTATAATTTTTTTCTGACATGTTGGTGTTATATCTTTCACTTGGATGTTATAAGTTGCACTGAGTAAATAACAGCTGGATAGAACAAAAACTGTGTCCATCTTCATTTTAGGCTGCAAAGCAACCAAATGTGATTATTTTAAAGGGGGGGGGGGATTCAATACCCACTGTATCTTGATATTTTTCAGCTTTTTGGTTATATTTTCTATACATTTTTGTTTATATATTTGCTCTGAAATGGGCTAGGGGATAGCATTTTTGCATTTAAAAGTTTAAAAACATGAGATGCAAAGAAAGTGGAATGGAAAAGTTTAGAGACTTGTTTTTTACTTTTAATTTGACCACCTCGTTTTTAGACTGCTGTCACTTTTTCCCCCCAGTTATAATCAATCTCAACATCCATTATAGCCTCTTAGATTTAAAATGATTAATGCAAAGAAATAAAATACAGGATTTTTTTTTACCCTACATAAACCCAAGGAAGAATAATATTTAATCATTATAATAATTTATCTGAACCATTATTTTTCCAACCAGTATATTTTTTTAAACAGCCATTGTTAAACTACCCTATGCCACAGAGAATTCTGTGCAAACAAATAGCTGAATCAAAATTTTGAATCAACTAATTCACTCAAATTAATTGAACTTACAAACTCTAATGAAGTTTAGACTTTAGTAATGATACTAAATCAGATCAAATGTTTCTGTTTAAACACTCTCATTCTCGAGTTTGACACGGTCTTTAGGAAACAATAGGCAAATTAAAATCACATTAAATGATGATGATTCACAATGCTGCTTATTTTTATATTGCCTGCAACATAATCTTGTTATTTTTACATAATCTTATTATTATGTTATGGCTGTTTCCTATAGACAAGCATTGGACTGAAACCGATCTTCAGTCATACCTGATGTTCTCATGACATACACTTCATGACCAAAAGTATGTGGACAATGCAAAAATAATTTTGGTTAGTCTTTTTGTCTTGTTTTCCCTTAACAATATAATCTAAAACAAAAACGAAATACATTTACTGGAGAAGCTAAGTAGTGTAAGATAATTCTTTTCATATGTTATCATGTTTCTTGTTTTATCACGTTTTTCTTACCCGCTTTGTGTGTGTGTGTGTGTGTGTGTGTGTGTGTGTGTGTGTGTGTGTGCATGCGTGTGAAGTATAAACCTCACTAAATGTGGTTGTATTTATACTTGAAGCAAGATAATGATAATTATAAGAAAATTATTTTATATAAAAATTGTTTTTACAACATCAACACCATTATTATTATTGTTAGTAATAATAATAATTATTATTACTATATAATTTATTTATTTATTCTTTATTAATTTATTACTATATAATAATTACTTTTATAATTATTATTATTATCATCATCATTATTATATAGTTGTGCGTGTGTGTGTGTGAGAGATTTCCTAAGGATCATGTGAAAGCCTGAAAATTCAGCTTTACCATCACAGAAATTGTTTTTTTTTTTTTATTAAGAGACTTTTTTCCAAAAAGTTGTAAAAAAAAATTTTTTTTACCGACTCTAGACTTTTGAACTATAGTGTATCTCGTAGATGTACAGATATTTTTAATAGAAAACTCTGATTTAATAAAAAAATCCTGATTTTGAAAATTAGTTTGCAGTACACTTGAACATCACACACTTAAGTGCTTCTTTTAAAGCCATTGGCATGAATATGGAGGTGGTTCTTCCTTTGCTGCTATAACAGCTCTAGGAAGGCTTTCCACCAGATGTTGGAATATAGATGCAGGAATTTGCTTCTATTCAGACACAGGAGCATCTGTGAGGTCGGGTTCTGATGGTGGGTAATGAGGTCTGGCTCACTCAGCTTTCCAAATTAATTCCAGAGGTGTTCAGTGGGATTCATGTCACGCTTTGTGAAGGCCACTCAAGTTTTTCCATCAACCTTTCTTTGTACACAGTGACTGTAACAGAAAAGGGCCCCATTCTTCTAAAAATGTTCATTTTAGGAGATTGTATGGTTGCATTCTTGATTTTATTAAATCCTCAGTAATGGGCGTATCTGAAATAGCAACACTTGTTAATTGGAAGTGGGTGTCCACATGCTTATGGCCATGTTGTGCATATCAGAACTACGAAAGGAGAGTTCCGTTATCTCAGTCTCATGATCTGCCTGATGCAGTCGATGCCTTTCCACTGACCTGCAGCAGCTTTAGCACTTCAGCACAAGCATGTGAATGTTGGCTTGTCACCCAGATGCCCGACTGAGTCAAGATTCCGCACATTTATTTTTCTTTTTGTTTGTGAAAAACACAATACTGGCTTTTGCATTGAGCTTGTCCTGTTAGGTTGTGTCTTTATCAAATGTTGTATTGTAAGTGCTTTTCTTGAGCCTTTTAAAAGGGTGCGAGCTTGAGGTGTACACTTTATCACTTTTCTTTGCAGCGTAAAGTGTCCTTTTTTAGTTGCTTTTAACTTTCATTCTAGTCATTGTATTTTTGCTGCATGTCTTTTTCTTTCTTTTTTTTCTTTTTGCTTTTGTCCTCACACAATTAAGGTTTTGGACATTCACTGCAATCAGATGTGAGATGATTTGCTGAGTGTTTCCCTCCATTGTTAGTGCAATCTACTCTGATTCAAATATACAGTGCTTTCCAAAAGTAACAATCCCACTAACAAGGACACAATTGCTTTACAATTATTGCCCTCTAACTGTGACTCATTGAAATGACTTCCACATTTTCTGGGGGGGAAAAACAACAATAATAATAAAAAGGGATCATCATTCAGATCTGTTATCATTCTGTTATTCCAATGGACAATAGAGAAAAAACATTTAAAAAATTTTTAATTGTAAAATCGCTTTACAATTAAGTGAGAAGAAATGCATAAATGAGAAGGTTGTACATATCACAGTAGCACAAGCTATTACTTCAGCATTAGATTTTTACAGTGATGTAAAACTCGCTATGATGCTAGGTTGCTAAGTGATTTTTAGCATGTTGCTATGTGGTTGCAAACTGGCCTAGGTCACAAAAGCCCACCAACAATTTTTTATGCTATTCGGATCCCTAGATTTTGCTCTTTCAGTATAAATTAGTTTTATAAATTAAATGATCCTACGCACATGCCCAGTTTAACAATGGAGTGGCCTAAGGTCTAAGGTGAAAATTTCCTGCAATAGCACCCTCAAAGCCGTGATCTCAGTCCAATTATGAATCTCTGGCGCAATTTGAAAATCATTGGTGTGCAAGAGTCACTGACTAACCTGAAATATCAATCTGCCTGGGGAAAATGGGACAAAATTACACCCTAATGCAGCTGTGAAAAGCTGGTACATACCACAAAAGACATTTATAGAGCCAGGTTTGCAGCTGCAATTGCTTCAATGCTAGCTTTATAATATACTCAATGTCTAGACTTGAATATGCCGTTTTTATTTTTCTGGCGCAATTTGAAAATCATTGGTGTGCAAGAGTCACTGACTAACCTGAAATATCAATCTGCCTGGGGAAAACGGGACAAAATTACACCCTAATGCAGCTGTGAAAAGCTGGTACATACCACAAAAGACATTTATAGAGCCAGGTTTGCAGTTTGCAGCTTACATTAAAAATGTAAAACATATTTTCTTTAAAATTGGATTTGTACCTATAGTATAATGAGAGAACTATTTAAGGGTCTGAATACCTTTGCAAAGCACTGTGTCATCCTGTGTTGTGATCTTGATTGTGTTAGGAAACTTGCCTTGAAAGTAGTTCACAGTGTTGGTCTGTAAAAATGAGTCTTGTTATGTTAACTATTTTGGGGTGTGTACAAAAGATGTATTTTCCTCATTGCAAAAGTGATGGATTCAAACTGTTTGGGCATTGTCCTCTGATATAATATAATTACGTTATATTTATTTAGTTTATTTACAGGTCAGTCTACTGTATGTTAGTGTGTAATTATTAGCAGTGCACAATCAAATAGGGAGCAGCTAGTTTGTCTCACATACTTTTTGATTCATTTACATTTATTGATAAAACATTTTTACTAGGAATTTACAGTAGTGTGTCTTGTCATTTCCTGTTCCTTCTCTTCATTCTGTCAGAGAATGTGTGAATATCATCATAACATTGATTCAGGGGGATTGATTCCGAATTTCTTTATCTTGATTGAAAAAGAGGTGCATAAAAATTATAAAAAATGTATCCTTTTGTGTTCCACTGAAAAATATCAAAGGGCTTTGGAATGACATGGTGAAATAATAACCTTTTTTTTTTCATTTTAGGGTGAGCCATTCCTTAAAGAAATGGTGTGTTGTATAATATATACACTACCGGTCAAACGTTTGGAATACTTCGGAATTTTTATGTTTTTGAAAGAAGTCTCTTATGCGCATTCTGTTTTTTAAAATTAAAAATACAGTAGAACAATAATATTGTGAAATATTATTACAATTTAAAATAAGTTTTCTATTTATTTTATTGATAAAAATAGTAATATACATATTTAAAATGGAATTAATTGCTGATGGCAAAGCTGAATTCCTGGCAGCCATTATTCCAGTCTTCAGTGTCACATGATGCTTCAGAAATCATTCTAATATGCTGACTTGGTGTGCAGTCATTGTCAATTGTTATTGGTACCCAATTATCAATGATGGTTCTCATTACTTTACTCGTTTATTTGAAAAATAAATATTTGGCAACAATTTAATGCATCTTTGCTTAATAAAAGTATTAATTTCTTTGGGGGAAAAATGTATGGTAATGTATGGTAGGTTGAAATGTAACAAAAATATTATAACACAGTCAGCATATTAGAATGATTTCTGAAGGATCATGTGACACTGAAGACTGGAATAATGGATGCTGAAACTTGAGGCTGGCCATCACAGTAATAAATTACATTTTACTGCATTTGTAATCAAACAAATGCAGCTTTGGTGAGCATTTAAGAGGATCCCCAAATCCAGGTGTGAAGAACTTGTTGCATCTTTCCCAAAAAGACTCCTGGCTGTATTAGATCAAAAGGGTGTTTCTACTAAATACTGAGCAAAGGGTCTGAATACTTAGGACCATGTGTTATTTCAGTTTTTCTTTTTTAATAAATCTGCATAAATGTCAACAATTCTGTGTTTTTCTGTCAATATGGGGTGCTGTGTGTACATTAATGAGGAAAAAAAATTAACTTAAATGATTTTAGCAAATGGCTGCAATATAACAAAGAGTGAAAAATTTAAGGGGGTCTGAATACTTTCCGTACCCACTGTATATATAATATGGAAAATGACATAACAGTATTGATTATTAGTTGGTGGCATGTATTAAAGATGCCATTGTCATATTGGTTGGTTTGCTGCTCTGTTGTTTCCAGATATGGTTGCATTTGAGAAGTGGAAGTGATTATGAACAATGGTTACACTGCTCATTAAAATCTAAATGAACCATGAGACAGTGAGGGGAAATGAGCTTTAATACCCCATCAGCCTTTGTCCTTTTCCCATTTTCTTATATCTTCTGTAATTCTGAAAGTCCTGTAAGACCCTTAAGGCTAATGCCAGTGGGCTGCGCTACATCAATGATGTTCACTTGACATGCTGTAGTGCATCTCAAACTTTGTTGCAGTAGTTCAGACAGCTCGTCACTTCACTTATCAAATGCATAGATTTTCCTGCAAAGTAATTTCTCCTAAAATATGCTGTTGCCCTTCATTGAACAGATGGCATTGCCATATGTACTGTGCTCCCACCTAGACTTCTGCTTACAGCTCACAACCACTATTTCACTTTAGGACACTTTAAACCTATAACTAACAAATCTGGCTTTGATGGTAAGCTTTGCTGGTTTTAGAGGACCATTAGTCTGGTCAGACCGGGGGACCAACTAGCTGGCTAGGTGAACACCAGCTTCACCAAGCTGCAAGACCAGCTTAAACCAGCTAAGACAAGCAAACCATCTTAGGTTTGTTTTAAAGGAATAGGGTGCCCAAAAATGAAAATCTGCTGACAATTTACTCTCCCTCAGGTCACCCAAGATGTATATCAACATCAATTTACATCAATTGCTCGCCAATGGATCCTCTGCTGTGAATGGGTGCCGTCAGTATGAGAGTCCAAATAGCTGATAAAAACATCACAATAATCCAAAAGTAACCCACACAACTCCAATCCATCAATTAACATCTTGTGAAGCAAAAATAATAAATTGTTGGTAATAAATACATCAAGATGTTTTTAACTTGTTGTTTCTGGGTAAAATAGGAGTCATCCATCCTCAAACCTCAAATCTACATTTTGGACAGCTATGAACTATTGGATGAACAATTCTTTGAATCCCCCTTTTCAGCAGCATATATTATTATGGTAATATATTTATATTATTGAAAAATTATATATTATTTTGCCTACCAATCACAGTGGGAAAATCAGTGGTCCATCACACCCTTGTTATGGAGTTTACATTTTTGCTGTTGTAGAAGCTGATTGTTCTGTGTTGTTTAATATTATCACTTTGTCTTTAACGTCTGTAACTATGTATGCTACTTTGTCTCCCCTCTCCTCCTAATTGTCTGTTACATAGTCATAGGCGGAGCGTGTGTGAGGCTGGGAAAGGATTTGCCTTCCTCTGGCCACGGATCAGAAATTAATGGGGCCTTGGGACAAAAATGCCCCTGATTTTGCAGATGTCACAAATAAAATGAAAATGAAATGAAAAGTGTCGATTACGGCATTAAATTTAGAACTGCTTATGTTGCATCATATTTCTTTTTCACCAAGCACACACGATTCTGTTGCGCTTATGAATGCAATAGCCAATCAGAGGCATTCTGATTAGTCATCATTAAAACGACAGTTTTGTTCAGTGCTTGATCTCTGTCTGAATTCTGCGTGTATTTTCTCATCATAAACAAACAAGTGCAGATGTACGTGCAATGTAAATAAGAGATTTATTAACAGTGTAGACAGCTTTACTGATTATAACGGGAGTGCTTTTGAGAGTGCTTAAACTCACACTAGACTGAAGTCAGTGATAATGTTCTTTGATAATGTAAATGTTCTTTGCTCACTTTCTGTAATGTCTTTGCTGTTTGAATAACAGTGGAAATGAAAGCGTTGTAATTAGTAACTTACAATGTTTTAATTAAATTGTGATCACGTTAAATACAAATTGTCGTATTAAAATATTTTATGACATGACACCCACATCTGGTACTTGCCTAAAAAGATAGGTTTATGATGTGACATATTTAATAGATTACTACGTTTAGCCTTACCCTGGAGTTGGTTCACCCTCCGCCTATGACTGCAGTGTTTGGTTTTTTTAAGAAAAAAAAAAGTTATGCATTAACAAAATGTTTGCTTTTCAAGCAATGTGATTGTGTCACACTCATTTTTGTACTTGCTGCCTGGCTGTTTGTAATAAATGAGAAAATTTAATATGTGACTTTTGTGCTTGGTAGTCACATGAAACACGTAACATACTGCATTCTGAAAATCTTTAATTAATGGGTCAATGACATGCTTTTTTTCATCTGGGTCTATTAATTTATTAAAAAAAAAAAATTTCAATTCAATAAAAGGAATTTTAATTAAAATTAATTTGGAAATTTGTGGGGGCCTAAAGTAAAAAATGTCAAGGTGATACATCTGCCCTGATATTGTAGTGATCTTGCTTTCGCCAACCTAGGCAGGCGAAATAGTGTAGTGATGGGTACTCATGTCACTGACAACGTTATAATTTTTGGATCACGGGTCATTGAAAGAGGTCATAGGATGCCCATTTTCCACAAGCTGATATGATTCTTTAGGGTCTTAATGAAAAGTCTGTAACATAGTTTGGTTAAAATTTCTCAATGGTAGTGTAAAAAAATAATTTTTTTCCCCTGTCAAAAACAGCTCTTTTCAGATCAAGACGTTTTTGTAGCTTTTTTCTTTAAATTTTAATGAGCTCTGCTGACCCCGCCCCTCTCTTCCGAGCTGCTCTCAGAGAGTCCATTTACTTTAGCCGCATTCATCGTGAAACTTGCTAATTAGCACATTATTAGGAAAGGCGATTTGCAAAGATTCATTACAAAACATTATACTCACTTCTTCTGTAGATGAGGCTGGATCATGAATGATTCACACGAACATAGATGCATTTATGTAGATCGGGGGTGCATTCCCTTCAGAAACAATGTAGTCCACTGTGTCTTCAGCGGCTCAGATGTCGGGAGTAAATGAGGACTGCTAAGTTCATTATTACATCCAACAACAGAACACCTCAATCGCTTAGGAGTTATTCTTGTCTATATCTGCTCCAGCGGTGAAACTATGGCGGACTGATGACAGCTCACTCAGGGCGGGTCTAAGGTACTGTCACTTCACTGTCAATCAAACTATCGTGGGAGGGGCCTGTATGTGTGACGTCACACAGACAGGCATCTGAGATCGGCTCGATTTGAGAAAGGGGAAAACATTTTACCAGATTAAAAAAAAAACACTGGGTGGATTTTTAGCATTATAGGGTGGTTGTGTACACACACTGCCAACACACATTTCAGTTAAAAAAAACTTGTAAAAGTGCATGTAGCATCCTATAACCCCTTTAAGGTGCGGTTATGAGTACATCTGATAAGAAAGATTGGTGGGATATCTAACTTGTAGAACCTCTTACTGTATTATCAACTCAAGGAAGACACAAGTGTAATAAAATATATTTTATTAACAAAAGATAGACAAGAGTAATCAACAACTACTAAATGAACACCATGAATGAAAAAGGAATAAAGTGCATAAGATGCATAAAATGCAAGTGATTAAATTGGGTGTTCCTATGGCAGAGTTTTGAAAAGATAAACTGAAACTAATAAGGTGAAGAACCTTATTATGCATCAAACAAATAAATGAAAGATTATTTGTTTTTAACTGATTAGCTATATAACGTCTAATGTAAATTAGAAAATCACATAATGCTAAGATGCAATAGCCAAGGTCTCTTGAAGAGGTTTGGATAAGTGATATTTACGTTCTCTGTGGTCGAGTGAGCAGTCCGGTGGCGGTGACTTCTTCCACTGGTTGTGCTGGTAACAATGCAGTGGGGAAAGGAGCTGGAATCCGTTTCAACACGAAGCGCTGTAGGATGCTGATCTCCTGGAACACCAAAGGGTCCTAAAATTTGGAACACAGACATGGCCCTGGAGTAGGTGCAGAAGGTCTGGAACACAATCGGACAAAAGTACCTTGAAGTGAAGATTTGCTTACCGGAACATAAACTTGTTGTAAATGTCTGTATGTCTTTTGCCTCTTTGTGCAAGAGACTCTGGTGAACTTGGTCGATCCACTTTGTCTATAGACTCTGGATGT